TTCTTTTGAAATTGAGAGTGCTGCATAGAGGCTGCATAGATATGTTGTGATTACGTGTTTAAGTTGTTTTATTGTATGTAAATTTTTACACGTATATTCATATATCTGTACTTTTTTCATCAACATTCAGTTCTTTACCTGTGTGGTCTATGCCTTTAGCATTAACTGGTTTACCAAAAGGGGAGATGGTAAGCTTGTCAGAGCCTGCGACTTCTTAAGTTAAGTTCCCTTTTTTGTGTAGCTCTTTTTTGTTTTCCTTCATATCTTTAAGCTGATGAATGATAACAAGAAAAACCATATGCTTGCCAGTCCAGAACATGATGGTATGATATTCTAGTACTTCTTACTAGGAACTACTATTAAAATTTAATGCAAGAGAATTTTCTTATCTTGGATTCAGAGACAGCCTTTGGATTGACATTGTAATTGATAATTGTAATGTAAAGAAAGATCGCTGAAATGTCTACGATGCAAAATGTTCTACCATTTTCCAGCTTTTCACAGCTGCTAATATGGTCCATCTGTTTACATCTTTGATTGAGATTGCTTAGGGAACATAAATTTATTGATGCTTTTATTGATCAGATTAGAAAAGCTTTATATAATTGAATTTGATGCTTTCATAATATTGGCTTCTATGCACGAATTACTCACAAGTAGTTAACTCAGAGAAGAAGCAAATGAAGAAGCAAATGTATGATTTCCTTCGCAGGATGCAAGTTTCCAGTCTTGATCTTCTCCACTTTTAGATGTTTCAAACATGGCTTATGAAGTTTTAAATGCTTTTTATATGCCCAATTACACAAGAGCCTGCACAGAGGAGTTAAAGAAGCAAAGATTTGATGGTAAAACTAAAGTCTCGTAGAAGCAGTCATTTTATTTGCTGGTTTGTTCTTTTATTGGTTACTATTGCCGATGTAAGATTGAGTTATTGTCAGATAAATTAGGTTAGGGAAGAAATGTATGTGCGATCTGAGATCTGATATTATTTCATCATTTCAATCTGCTGCAGGGTCATGATTCACGCGATACAAAATGAGCGCCTAGTCCAGGAAAATCTATGATATCTTGGAGGCATGATATCTCTATAGTAACTTTTTTAATATTTAATAATAATTTAGTGAGTTTATAGTAAATTTACTAGTCAAAATACTGAATCATTAATGTCATAGTAGAACATCCGTAGTCAAGTTATTTGCCGAAATTGGTTAGATCAACTTGTTGGATGGAACTGATGATCCGTGGTGATGTGTGGAAATAATTAGATTGCGACAGCTTGGCTGGGATTATTCAGTTTTGGCTTTTCTTATAATATTAGATTGCATACTAGCATGATTCCACAGAATATTTCATTTTCACTATAAATTATTCAGAAACCTACCGCATGAATTTCAACTCTTAAATCTTCTAGCTATTATTGTAAAGACTAATATAAATTTTGCTACCGACCATCCAGCATTATCAATAATGGACAGTTTCTCATACCCATGACTCAGAAGCTTACGAGTAACCATACTGTTTAGAAATCACAGCATGTTTACATGTATTATATATATGTGCGTTTTTGCATGTGTACTATAGGTGACAGTAACTTCATCAGTATTGATGATCTTGGTTTTTTATACAGGGTCTCTGTATATAAAGCTGGTCATTTTCTGGGGAAGAATCCTTCACATACCAAGTCAGAGAATTCTAACCAAAGAAAGCTATGTGCAACAAGCTCGTTTTCCAGCAGCTTTTTTTTGACTGATATAGCTGTTGAGATTCATAGAAAGATAAGGTTGCCAACAGGGTTTGATTTTGATGTTTTGTTAGTCTTTATTTTCAAGATTTATTTATAATTTAATAATATTATATATACAAAATAAAATATTAAAATTATCGCATTGTTTATATTTATTTTATTAATTATCTTTTAATAATTTCAACTTCCTCAGTTGCCAACACGCCTTAATGATTATTATTATTATAATAACTACAAATTTTCAATTGCAGATTAAATATTTTTATCGTCAGAAAAAGTCTCACCATATGTGAAATTTTTCTTTTTCGGGTCCCGATCAATTAAAAGCAGCGCAATTACGACGAATATTTCCGTTTGTTCCGGTCTTGACTCCGACCCGACCCAATTTAGTCATGGCAGCAATAAAGGCTTTCTCAAAGGCCGCTTTGTTTCCTGCCCATGCCATCACGGTGGACTTGGATCTCGGGTCGGTGAAGAGGATTTGATCCGATGTGAATAGGCCTTTTCCCTCTACAAGGTTCTTGTAATACGCGTTGTCAAAAGTTCGGGGGGTGTTTGGATCCATGTTTATGGCTATCCTGGGGTCCACTTTCTTGGGACACATCGCCTGAAGCTGAGCTGCGTAAGCCTTGTTTAGTGTAGGGTCCACCGGATTTTGACGGCTGAAATTGTATATTCTGTTTGCGAACTTGTTGCAATGAGAGAACCCAAGGGTGTGGGCGGCTGCAGGAAATAAAAAAAATCAAAGTCAAAACTTCACCTCGATAATTAATCTGATCAGACGGTTCCTATTTTTTCTTATTCTTGACCGATTTACGCACGTGAGAATTAACACAAAAAAAAAAAACATTCTTAAAATTACATTTTCTTTTTCAATTAATCAAATCATGCGCAGTGGTGTCAGTGCCAACTCGTAGAGGGTAAATTCGTCAAATCCTAATCATAAGACAACAGGACAGGTCTCCTCGGTTGGGACCCACTCAAACACAATCATACAGGAACCAAGATGCCCAACCACGAGACAGATTAATCTGACCTGGAAGCGGTAACATTTTAAATGATACCTTTTTCAACATTAATTATTAAATACTAAAAAATCACAATTAGTAGGAAAATCTTTTTGTTTATGTTATGATTTACACAAAATAATTCGTTTTAAAGTTAAATACGAAGTAAAAAGAAAAGAAATTTATTTTAAAAATTATTTGCATATTTTATTTAAACAGTTCTTAGATTTTAGAGGAGGCGTACCGGAGAGGGCAATCATGTCAGTTTGGGTAAGGCCAATAGCAGCAAAGAGAGAATTGAGCTGGTTGAGATTGAAGTTAGGCTGCGGCAATTTCCCATTTACACTTTTAGCCGTTGAGCTTAGCCCGTCAAGTCTTCCCAGCTCAACCGCATACGACGGTCCACCAGCCTGCAATTTTTATTTATATATTTCAAAACCCACAAATTTTTTAATTTAAACAAAATTATGAGTTTTTTTTTTTTTTAAATAGGTACCCAGGTCCATTTATTAAAAAAAAATTATTCAGAAGTTCTTAAATAATAACAGGGAAGAGAAAGTAAAGTGTGCGAACCAAAGCAATGACATCTCGGGTGGCCATGGCGAGAATGTCAGCACAAGAGACCTTGTTTCTGCAACTAGGGATTGCATCTACAGCAGCTTTGGCTTTAATCACGGTATCGAATCCATCTCCGGCCAACGATAAATTATCCGGGTGGTCTTTCTCCGCCGTGTTGCTTCCCGTCGATGCAACAATTACCGAAGCATCGCACCCCTTGCACATTTTCATTATTTCCAACTCCAGAGTCAGTACATTAGTTTACAAAATCCTTAACTTAATCAACGAACAGTAAATAAATCAAACCCAATAAGTCAATCACCAAATAATTTAGTAGTACTGCTCTATCGCCGAAATCAGAAAGAGACTTAAGTGTAATTGGGATATATAATAAATTATATAATAACAACTAAACCCGAGGGTAAGTCCTGTTGAATTCAATATTTTCGAAATATACGGAATGAAGGATATGGTGAGAATTGTTCTTCAATATATATATATATATGTATGTATGTATGTATATGTAAATATACCTGAACAACGCAATCATGGAAGAAAAGCCGGAGAGTGGCGGGGACAGTGACGAAGGTCTGTTGGAACTTCTGTCGGACGACGCCTCTTACAATGGATTCAACGTTGGGACAGACATTAGCGTAAAAGTTCTGTTTAAGCACCTGAGCCGATGCAGCGTAAAGACAAAGTGACAACACCACTACCACCCAACTGAAACGACCCATGTTTCTTGATTTTCAGTCCAACATAAAACATGCCCAGAAACTGCACATACCTATATATATATATATATATGTGTGCATAAATGTATCTGTAAGTGTAAAATGGGTTTTAATGTACGTTAAAAATTAAAGATTAGAAGTGTGCCAGTTGGCTTTATAATTTTTACTTTATGTTGCGAAAAGGGTAATGTGTTTCTTTTTGTCTATATGTGTACGTATATATGTGCGTGTATATATATATATGTGTGTGTGTGTGTGTGTATAATGTAGAAAGAGGAGTTGATTGGTGGATGAGTACGCGTGTGTCAATGGCCGCCTTCGTCTGATTCGTAACTGCTCCCCTCGTCGTCAAATATAAAATGGGATTAATTTTGAGTTTCATTAATATTCTCCAAACGTGGTCCAAGATAGGAACTGTAAGCCAACGTAGTATGCACGTTAACCATACTTGTTAAATTATTATTATTTTTTTATATTTTAAGAAGACTTTTTATCATATATTATATAATTAAATGTAATATAAGATAATATTGTAATCTTTAAATGATTTTAATCATTAATAGGGTGATTTGTTTAGGGATCTCCAAAAATAATTATGAGGGTGAATGTATGTTCGCATTAATCAACTATGAAAATTTATATAATTGCCAAGTAACTTTTTGTTAACGATTTTGTATAATCTCAGTTAAAATTTACCCAAATGATGGTAATTATGTGCATGCGAGAAAGAGAAGAAATAGTGCGTTTGGCGTGACTGGGAATGTAAAATAAGTTTTATCACAGAGACTTATAAATTAATCTCTGGTCCTGTAATAAAGATTAATTAATTACTTACAATATACATAAAATTATGAATTAAATTTTATATGTGACGGTTAATTATTGGATTTTGAACTAATAAACTTTAACTCTGCAGCTATTCAGATTCTAATTTATAATAAAAAGTTCAAAATTCAATTTTTTTTTTTTTTTTTAATGTTACGACGATTGATATTACTATTAATTAATTAATTAATTAATCATACGATAATTGATACCATATGATCCCCAAGATCTTAATCCACATGCACATGTGATTGTGTGTGTTTTCAACAAAAATAATGTTACTACACCCACACACACATATATGTATGTATTGATTGTTCCAAAAGTATTTAGTAGTAGCGTAGACGTGTGTATTTATTCAATAAATTGAATCTATAATAAACGTTTGAATTAATTAACTAATTAATTTAAATAAATTTATTGCTATAATGGGGTAAACGTGTATTTTTATTAAAAATATAACTTTTAACAGGAATTTGAACGTCCTAACACAAAATTTTCTAATTATTAAACTTGCATTGATTGCTTGGAAATTTCCAACTTAAAAAAAAAAAAAAGAAAACCCAGAATATGTTACTAATTTAGATACTCCATGAATCGCCATCCTTGGACTTCAAAAAAAAAGTGCATGCGGTTTAAACGTTCCCATCAACCCTCTTTATTGGAAAATTCCTCCAATTAAATTTTCGTGTGACATTTCTTTCTGGTATTGTGTAATATCATTGTCGACCACAAACAAAACAATGTCTTCGACCTAATTATAAATTTTTTAATTATATTTTATTTGAATGTTTATCGTGTGATTTTTTTTTTTTTTCCCTATAAAATGAAAATTTTAGTAAATTAGATTTTACTTAAATTATTATTCCGATGCCACTGAAGCGGACGAAGGCAAAAAGGTAGACCACCGCGTACAGAATTGGGTTGGGCCAGGATGCACCTACATTTAACTGCCGGCCTTGGGTCTAGAATATGATTGGGCTAGGCCCGGTTAACTACGTTTGGTTCGGTAAAACCACATGTTTTAAACTCGGCTTAAAATTAAAATTAAAAAGATTTTCTGTAATATATCAAATAAAAGACAAGAAATGGAATATGCGAATAAATGTAAATCTATTTTGGATTTGTGAATTGGGTCCACAAATACGAATCTTAAATCCTCAAGTGAGATTTATGAGGTTATTATTATTATTATTTAATTTTTATAGAAAAAAAAAAAAAAAAAAAAAAAAAAGTACTGGGAAAAGTCAAGCTCAGAATTTTGAAGAAGGATAAAGATAAAATAAAATAAAATAAAATAAGAGCTACGGCCGTGCACAGAAAAGCAAAGACTGAGAAATTGAAGTCCAACACATCATCACATTGGCTTTCGAAAAGTGCTCCCGTCCAAAACTACCACGCTGCTTAATGCTATCAGACAAGACCCTCGTACGATTCTTTTTTGACGTAATCCCTCATAATGCTTCCTTTTATTTTTATTTTTTATGTTAATATAATTAATTAATTAATTAAACTAAATATTTTTACTTTTTTATTATTATTATTAATAAAAATTTGAATATGTATTAGATGTGAATAAATTAACATAACATGTATTCTGCCTGTGACAATTAAGCCTCACCAAATCACTTATTAAATAGTCTTAAATAATTAATTAGAGACAGCTTATAATAATAACTTGCAAAAGAGAACACCATGTGTTTCTCCACTAACTCCATTTACGTAATTAATTTTTTATTAAATTAAACAAATCTTAATTAATTATAATTATCGTCGACAGATTCGAGATTCCACCACCAGTCATCATTGTTGCTGTCAAGTACGATCTAATAAGAGTTAATTAACTCTAATTAATTATTATGACAAAAATTATTAATTAATTAGTTCTGCCCTGTCCCCTATATATACGTAGTTGAATATTACAGTGATTACTATATATTAGGATTGTGATCAATAATTCATAAAAGACAGATTGGTCTTTTACATATATATCTATATATATATATAAACCTTGACCTTCTGAATAAATGAAAATAAATATTTAACATAATCTTTCTGCAAATAATAATTAGATATTATATATATATATATATATTACAACATGCATAGATAAATTGGTCATGACATGGGCACGTCTCACATGGAAAGAGTAAAGATATACTCTTGATCCAATGAGAATATTTTTAAAATTATTATATATATATATATATATATATGCACATATATGTAACAACTACTATTCTTATTGGTGCATGGTAGCTTCTTATTATTTTCTTTTAGAAATCGTTTAGTGATTAATCTTAATTTCTTAGTTTAAAATTTCACTTTATATTTTTTATAGAACAAAAAATTAATGTTTTTTTCTCCACATAAAGATTCTTTAATTTTCCATGTTTGGAAATTTTAAGAAATCTCACTTGCAATAATAAATTTAATTTTTTTGTTCATACATTTTGTTTCACATTTCTTACACATGCATGTTCAACAAGTACGGTAAAAGAAAGAGTGCAATAAATTTTTATATATATTTGATGTTTTAATACAATATAATATATGTTAATTTTACATTAACATAAATAATTATTTGGTCAAAACCCATTTATTATATATAACAGATTCACTCGAATACCAGTTATATAAAAACCGTGTTGGTTAAGACCAACCTTGATTACAAAATTTTATTTCAAAATTTTAAAAATATGATTACAAATTTTGAAGTTATCCACTATATATATATATATTTGATTACTTATTGCACCTCATATATCATACAAACATTGTACTAAAAAATATAATATATACAATTTTACTTTAGATAAATGTTAAAATTGAAATCTCTAATTTTGTTTTTTTAAAAAACCATAAATAATCGTTGTGGTTAAAACTCGTTAGTTACAATTATTATAATATAACCTTGGAGCATGCAGCACGAGTAGGACAGAAAGCATAATTGTTGTTTTAGAATACATAATTAAAACAATAGTATAATTTATATATGCTTTTTTTGGGTTCGTGAGCAACTTCAAATATTTCATGCGCAATTTTATATTTACTAAAAAAAAAAAAATGCACTAAAATCAGCACAGACAGGCTGCTGCGGTCAGATTTCTCAATGAGGTGCTGTTTTGAAACCCCGAAACACGAGTGGGTTTTTTCAAAATCATATATTAAAATATAAATAATTATTTCTCTTTTTTTTTTTCTATTAATTTAATTTATAAAATTAAATAAAAACAATATTTTAATTCCAAACTCGGTTTTATATTCCCTTCAAATTACATGTTTAAAAATATAAATTCATAATTATAGAATCAGATACACGAGCATAATCAATTGAATCATACGTTAAACATATAAATTATTACTCAATGTATTATATAGTCATAAATCATATCTCTCGTATTTCTATAAATATATTACATACAAGTTTGATAGAGATTATGAAGTAATAATTTATATTCACAAAAATCAACTTGATTTGAAAAAAAAATATATATATATATAGATATATGCATGTAAGATATTATATCTACATACACACACAATACAGGATATGTGTATTTATGTACATGTACAAAAGAAGATGCGTATACACTGTGCGGCGTGTATTGTTAGAAAATAGCGAAGACAATTCTTTTGGTGGTTCCGGTGTAATGATTTTAGAAATTTCTTTTCCATAGTGGGACCCATTAGACTCCCTCACCCCCACCACTCCCAACGACGCGAGCCCCCCTCCGCTCAGCCTTTTCAGCAACCCCGATGGACCCACCGTCCCATATGGCTGCACCTCCCCGCACCGGCAACGCGTGCGCCCTTGTCACTCTCCTCCTCCAGACCCCAACCCAGTTTTATTTTTTAATTATTATTATTATTTTTTTTATAAAAAAATATTTTCTTTCATTGAATTATTTTAGTTTCTGACAACTGTCCCTGCCTGTAAGAGAGAGAGAGAGAGAGATATATAGTATATGCTGTATGCACATGAGCCCAACATGCATGTGATATTCTTCTCTTGATAAGTATCAGCAGACATTAATTTTATTTTATTTTATTTATTTATTAACAAATATTTTAATAAAACTTCTATAATTAATAAATCAATATATATATATGTAAAAATAATTTTGGCATGTATAAATTATACTATTTTGATAAATAATTTTATTTTATTATTTAAAATAACAATATAATTATTTTAATAATTGAGTAATTAAAAAGTTATTGGAAATATCCCTTCAATAGAATCAAATTTTATACTTATCCTAGGCATGTCTGCTTACTAATATTGCCTAATAAACTAATCTGAATAAATTTAAAATTACTAAACCTAAATTATATAAAAAAATATATATATATATATATTGAAAAAAAGAAGAAAATCCATAACATATTTAAAGAATGGTCTAGGATCATCCTCTCACAGTCTGTCTGTACTGTGTACAAATAAAACATAAAAATGACAAATTACTTTTTGTTTTTAATTAATAAATAAAATTTTAAAATTTTCTTTGTTCCCAAAGTTACAATCCAAAACAAAAGGAGATGTATCTAATAACATACCAGCGGAGAAGATTATTCAAGTACATTTAATGTGTACCGTTTTATTTATTTATTTATTACATTAGTGGGGTCCGCTAATCTGGACCGTTTGATATCTGATCTGATTGATTCCTTTAATCTCCCTCACCACGTGGCCAATTAACTGCGATAATCATTGTGTTGGGTTCTTCGGTTTTCGCGATGGAAAGGAATCCACAACAACCTACACATAATATAATAATGTAACATGACATTATGCACATGAAATCCATGATACGTATTACCCACAGGCCATAACGCATCAGAACTTTTTTTCTTTTTCCAAAATTTATATTTTATAATTATTTAATTTTTAAGGATAATTATTATATATACATTTAAATTGGTCACTCTTATCCAATGGCGGGGATCAGTTTGTCGGTGGGGCAGGCCAAAGACTCCTCCTTATTTTTCTTGAACTATACACAAATGTTCCACGTTTAGTCCCTGTTACAGAGATATTTTTCTAATACCAGTATCATAAGTATTTATTATTATTATTATTATTATTTTTAGTGATCATTAATGACAATTAATAATAAAAAAAATATTTATGGTCAAATTCAAGGAATTGATGTGTTAATTCTTTTAATTGAATCGAAAATTTGATTTTTTTATTTTATTTTTTGGTGAAATTTTCAATTATAATATGAGTGATTTTAATGCTTTCGTAATACAAGAGGAGAAAAAAAAAATAATTTTAGTATATAAAAAATTAAATAATAATTGATCAGACAACTGTTTAACTGTGATATTGAATTCATGGGTGCATGTGATTGATGCTTATAGTATTTAAGATAAGTTGTTTTTTTTTTTTTTTTTAAAAAAAAAACTAATTTGTCTGGGGCAGTGTAAGCCCCCTTGTGATTCTCAACACACTATAAATATATATAATGTAAAAATTAATTATAAAAATACAAAATACATATATGGAAATGTATACATATAGGCACA